ATAGGGCTGCAATTTCAGGTAGACCATATCTCCTACTTCAAAACCCTTTCAGTTCTGTTTTTATCTTGTTGCTGCTTCATGCGATTACTTGCCATCTGCAATTGAGTTTGAATTAACTGTCTAGTAACTTCTCTGTTGTTCATGATTTCTGCAATAGTATGTACTGTAGACTCTGTAGGCCAAACCATAATAGGTGGTTTGTAGCCATATAAAGCCTGAAAGGAGTTAACTTGAGGGCAGTATGATAAGTGGTATTGTACCACCATTCAGATGTGATAGCCACTTAGTCCATTGCTTAGGTTTATAGAAACAAACCCTCTCAAATACTGCTCCAAACACTGGTTAACTCTCTCTGTTTGACCATCTGTTTCTGGATGGTAAGCAGTGCTGAACACTGTCTTGGTGCCTAACTGTTTCATAAATTCCTTCCAAAATAAACTTGTGAAGGTCTTATCCCTATCAGAAATGGCCATTTTAGGCTGGCATGTAGCTTGTACACATTGTCTAAGTAGCTTTAGCCACCTCTGCTGCAGAATAGGGGTTTTCTTTAGTGAAGTAGGCAACCCTTCAATGAAATCTATAGAAATTATTTCCCAAGCCTGGTTAGGAATAGGTAGTGGCTGTAATAAACCAGGCTTTGCTAATGCTCCACTTTAGTTTGCTGGCAAGTCTGGCAACATCTAAATAAGCAGCAACCATAGATTTAGATTTGGCCATAAAATTAGACTAATCTTATAATGTAGCCTGAGCCCGAGTGTCCCCCTTGAGGAGAGTCATGTAAAGATTGATAATCTGTAAATCTAAGGCTTCCAGTAGCTCCAATATAAACTCTCCCATCATATCTAAGAACAGCCTTAGAAAACTTCCACTTACTGTCAGCCAGAGGAGTAATAGTCAGAATTGAAATCCAATTCTGAGCTAAAGAGTCACCCTTATAGCTTTCTTCAATCTCCTGAACCCAACTAGGTATCAAAACTGTCACTCCCATAGTCAAGCATTGAGCTTGATCCTCCCATCTTCTAGATAAAGCATCAGCAACCACATTTGATTTCCCCTTTCTATACTGAATTGTATATCTAATCCCATAACTTTGTCAACCCTTCTTTTGGATAGTGTAGTTAACTTTTTCTCCAAAAGAAAACTTTAGGGGCTCATGATCAGTCTTAATAATAAATGATGCACTCTCCAAAATAATGCCTCCATTTAGAAACAGCCAAGAGAATAGCAAGATATTTCTTTCATAAATAGATAATGCTGAGTGTCTAGGGCTTAGAGCTTTACTCAAATAAGCAATAGGTCTTCCCTCCTGAGATAAACAGCCCCTACACCTCCTGAGCTAGCATCTGTTTCTATAAAATGTTTTAGAAAAATCAGGCAATGCTAAAACTAGAGCAAAACACATAGCCTTCTTAAGATCTTCAAAAGCACTGTAAGCAGCAGAATTCCAGTGAAAACCATCCTTTTTAACATCTGTGTTAATGGTTTGCTAATATACCATAGTGCCTGATAAATCTGTAATATCCAGTTAGACCTAGAAATCCTCTGAGAGATTAAGGGTTTTAGGCTGAGGCCAATTCTGCATAACTTCCACTTTGCTATGATCAGTAGACACTCCTGCAGCAGAGATAATATGACCAAGATATTCCACTGTAGTCTGGCCAAAAAAACACTTAGATAACTTTGCAAATAACTGGTTCACCTTCAAACTTCCAAACAAGCCTCAAATGTTCAACATGTTGTTGCATACTGCTGCTATAAATCAAATATCATCAAAGAAGACTAAAACAAATTTTCTAAGAAAGGAACTGAACAACTCATTCATGAGAGCCTGAAATGTAGCAGGTGCATTAGTAAGGCCAAAAGGCATTACCTTAAACTCATAATGCCCTTGATGAGTTCTAAAGGCAGTTTTGTAAATATCTTCTGGTTTAATTCTGATCTGCCAATAACCTGATCTCAAATCAATCTTAGAAAAGTAAACTGCCCCATTTAACTCATCAGTAAGTCTTCCACTATAGGAATAGGAACTTATCTTTGATGGTCAAACTGTTTAGTTGTCTGTAGTCCACACAAAACCTCCAAGTGCCATCCTCTTTTTAATAAGAAGGCAGGGAGAGGCAAAAGGGCTCCTGCTGGCTGAATGACAGAAGAAGAAAGCATAGCAGTGTCATAGTCAATAGGATAATATGACCAATAATATCAGAATCCCTTGCACCATTTTAAGCAAAGTAGCTCCTGATATTTGATATAATCAGTAGAGGGTTGTTGACCCTGAATACAAATCTGTTCCCCTTCATGATCAAAACTTAGTGTCATATATTAAAGTCCATCAAAATTGGACTGAATAACTTCATCCAATCAACTCCCAATACCATGTCACTGCCTCCCAATTAAGTAATCTAAAATCATGGAAAAAGTATGTCCCTGCATTTCCCATTTAACCTTGTTGCATCTAGCAGAACTAAACAACTGTTGGCCATTAGCCACAGTAATAGCCAAAGGATAAGCAGTATTAATCTGTATGCCAGCATCAGCCCTGTAGGAGTTAAAAAATGTGTGTACTGCCATGTCAATTAGGATTCAATGGTTTCCCTGAATAGTGCCTGTATTCTCAATGTATTATGGCCAATGCAGCCAGTAATAGCATTCATAGAAATTTCCAGATTTTCCTCTTCTTGTGTTGAATTTGCTCAGCATCATTAGGACATACCTCTAATAGAAGGATCAACTTCTTCAGTAATCATATTCAATTGCCTGGTTTTACACTGATGGCCCGGCAATACTTTTCACCACATTTAAAGCAGAGGTTATTTTGCCTTCTGTAATCCATAAGACTTGCTTTGGATTGGTACTGCTGTAGGTTTTGTAGGTACTGGCAGTGTAGGTTTAGATGTATATAAGGGGTTTGGGTAGGGTGGGGTTTTAAAAGAAGACCTCACTCTTCTGTTCTCAAACTCCACAGACAGTTCATACAGTTTGGCCTGTTTAGAGCTTCAGATAAGTTTTTAGGATCTAAAGCCTTGACCCTATGCTTGATCATCTCTAAGTCCACTAATAAAAAGTGACACAAAAAATTCCTCAGTCAAAGTAGGATTCTGCAACAACATATGAGGTTGTAACTCCTCAAACTTCTCTTGATAATCTTCCAAGACCCTTTCTGAGTCAATTTAGTGAACTCCTCAACAATATCAGAAAAATTCTATCACTGAATCTATGACAAAGATCAGCTTCAAATTCATGCCATGTCACATGGTGTTTCTGCATAATGTAACCATCAAACCAAACTTCTGCCTTGCTGTTAAATACATTGTAGCTAGTTCCACTCTGCTCAACAGGAACCCCACAAATAGAAAAGTATTTCAGGCACTTCTGCACCCACCCTCTCGGATTAACCCCTTCAAAGAAAGGAAGTTCTATTTTAGGTCTATTCCACATAATCCCAGAACTAAATGAACTCCCTGGCCCCTTTTTTTCAGCTTCTAGTCCCACTATAATAGGTCTAGAGTCACTATTTTCACCCATTTGATTCTCAGGCCTATAACTGTTCTTAATGGCTATACAAGCATCAGGTTTAGACTTTAATATCCCAGGTTCATCAGTTTTATAAGTAAACCTAGATTTGTCATTCAGCACAGTCACCATAACAGGAGTCTTTTCCTTATTTTTAGAAGTATCAGGAGATTGTACCTGCTCACCAACAGATTGCTCTTGGTCTCCAGTTCTGCCTGTCAATATCTTCAATAACTCTTCCACATAGCCCTGATTCGTTTCCATTCTAGACTCCAATGCATTGATTCGATTCTCTTTATTTTCCCACCATTTGGGTGGATTGGTTTCATCCGTCCTTGTTTAACTAAAGCATTATTCTTCAATCTGCTTTTACAACCTTGATAAATCAGCTTCAGCCATAGTTTGATTCTTCTTTGGCATGCCAGAATCGAGGCTCTGAATACAATTTGTTATAGATGGATTTTGTAGAGAAGAATGTCGAAAGAAAATAGGTTTTAGAAGAAGAATTGAGAGAGATTATAGAAAGAAGTTTGCATCATTCATTTCATAAGAAGATTTTTACAATCAAGCCTAGTATTATTTAATTACATGAGCCATAGAATTCCTGCCAGCTGTCCAGTGTCATAACAACTATCTAACAGAATGATTCTTCTCTTTCTATTCTTTCTCAGATACTGGGCCTTCGTGTTTGGGCTGCTCCATCATGCCATTATCCTTCCAGGCCTGCCTCTGCTGTGGTAAGTTTCCCTGTGCATCTCACGTGATTTAATTCCCAATCCCTATCTTCAATCCCTAACCCTCGATCCCCATTTCCCAATTGTTCCTCACTGCTTCCTCGTCTCTCTTCTTCGATGCTTCCTCTTCCCTCTTCTTCTCCAACCATAACAAAACGTACTAACTCCTAATGGCTTGAAATGTTTCTCCACAATTTGTCTGCACAGATAGATAAAATAGCAGGCGGGGTTCGACTTGGTTTTATTACAGTTGGCGATGGAAAGACTGAAGTTCTGGTGTATATAGATTGCTCAGTCTTCCCAGCAACAGATATTTCCGGTCCAATCTTTCGAGCTATAAGAAATGGATCATTAAAAGATCAATCTCCCCCAGGTGAGCCGAGGATCATGAGAAGTCTTCTTCAAGCCCTGCAGAAGTCTGTTGAAATTGCTAGAGTTTGAGCTAGATTTTTGTTCAGTATGTACCAATATGCTCCATTTCTCACCATCCCCGACTTTTCTAGATAATTTAAACATTCTGTTTCTAATATAAAGAAATATGATCTACTAATTGTTCATTATCTAGCCACTTTCTTAGTCATTCTTATGTCATCAATAAATAATTGGATTCTTCATGCAAAAGCAATGATATTATGACTCTCCTTGAACAAAATTCTGCATGATGTTACTTCCTCAGGCTCTTGTTTGTATTCTACAAAATTGTTGAACATGAAACTGAATATTCCTTGTGTTCTTTTCATTGCTCATGAGATAAGCTAATGGTCATAATCAGAAGGTCATGTATACTTCAGTTCTGGATTTCGAAGAAAATGGAGAAACCAACATGTTCGAAACAAATGCTTTTTGACGGAGAAGATGGACATGATACTGTAAATATGTCAAAATTCTCAAACAGGTATGTACGCCTTCATTTTTATCGTTATTCCTTTCTTGCTTTGAAGAGTTTAACTATCTGTTCCTGTTCTTTTATAATAAGAGTGTATCTGTTCCACATCTGAATCTTATATCAGCAAATCTAGTACATTATTAGCCAAAAAGATAATGTCAAAAAGAGGGAAATAAGAGAAACATTGTTATGACATTAGGACAAAGACACTACAAGCTAATGAAGAAAATTAGTTTTTAGTAGTGGTTCATAGAACCCCTTGAGGGACTATTACAAGGACTTGATTAACTCGTTACCTAATCTCGTGAAAGAGTGCCGGCGGCTTCTACAAAAATTTAGACCAAAATAGACCAAGAGCGAAGACAAGCGGCCAGTAAGAGATATTGATGGGATAATTAGTATTTCTAAGGTAGAAAGTGTAAGCAATTGCTGATAATATAGTTTGCAGAATGGCACAAACTAATCCAATCATTTCAGGGAAAGTACCGAAACGCCTGTGGTTTGGAGGAGAATGGTAAAACCAGGGCAACTTGCTTTCCCACTTCCAGATGACTCTTTCCTTTCCAGCCTTGTAAGCAAGCTCAATGATGCATGTCATGGCAGCCACAAAAGAATTAACATGGCAGTTAACGCGTATCGATGCTTGTTCACCGAGGAGAGCTGGTCAAATGTTGCTGATAGAAGCTCAGTAGAATATTGACACATAGAAAGATCCGTTCTGGGATGTTAACCTATCAAATGATCGAAAAAGGTATCATATTTAGTACTTAGCATTACTTTTCTTTTGGATACAAATGAGGCTGCAATCTGGGAATAGATGAAAGGTAGCAGATTCTGGGATTAAAACCCCAAACCTGCAAAATGACATTTATAGATGAGGGGTGTATGAACCAACTGTGCTAAGTTCTCGGTTCAACTCTAGTATTATTTTCTTCAGCTTTCGAGTTGAACTATATTGGAAAGGCTACTGAGTTGGTAGCAACACCACTTGATATGAAAAGAAGCATGTAATAATGGGATGGGGGCACGTGTAAGATGCCGCATTACCTTAGCTTCTGAAATTTCCCCTTCATCCATGGCGGCTGTAGAATTTTCATCTGACCATGCATCAGAAATACGAGTATCTGCATTGTCTTCCACCCAAGTTTCTTCAAAATCAGCGATGTAAATAGAATGTTCTCCCAGCCAGTCTTCTTCTACCCAAGTTTCTTCAAGCCAAGCTTCTTCATCATATGAGATGTCCATATTATTTTCTTCAAGCCAAGCATCAATGTTTGATGACATAGCCTATAGGGTATTATAAGAGCGTTGGATTAGTAATCTTTTTTTTTTCCGATGATAGTTGGACTAGTAATCTTTGATATGAAATGATTCTTATCCTTGAATAGGTGAGTCGAGCGAGTGAGTAGTGAGGATTGGAAGCTTGGTGTATAAGTTGTCTCATGCAAAGAACAAAACAATTGCTTGGAGCGTAATCTATTGTGTAAAAAGGAAGAAAGCACTTCTTTTGCTAGACTGTAACCCCCACACAGTCAAAGTGGTTTGCCTTTTCACCAACCGAGTTGGTTTAAGTGGTAAACAGTTTGATATCACTTAAGTAAGGTTTTAGGTTCGAATCCTTGTCTATGCAGAAAATCTCCATTAGGAGACTCACTCACCAAAATCAGATGTGCGATTCCAGTTGGTCCTGATTAATTAAAATGAAACCTTGAAATTGGAGGATAAAAAAAAAAAAGGTTTGCCTTCGCTGTGAAGTAGCATTCTTTAGAACATGGGTTCAATTTACATGATTAATGAGAATGGCGCAATTATTGGAAAAGCTTTTTCCATTTGTTTTCCTTTTTATGGCAGATGCCAATCAAAATTCAGAACCAAAACCAATATTTTTTCTCTATTCAACGTGACAACCAAGCCTTACAATACGTTAACTTTACTCCCAAAATTCGCTCAGGTATTATTTAAAATGTATTGTAATTATCCCCGCGTTTCTTGATTTCAAAAGTATAATGTAACCGAAATAATTCATTTAATGAATTAAGTCGTAAAGCAAACGCATATAAAACCAAAATTCAAAGTCTAATGTCCAAAATAAATATAATGTGTAGTGTCCAAAAATAATTTCAAATAATAACATTAACCAAATAAGAATACTAATAAAATCTGAAATAAGAAATATGCGTAAAAATTTCATACTATGAATAATAATGAAATCGAAATAGCAACGTAAATCTCCAAGTACCGATTCACTTAAACTTGAAAAATCTAAAATAAAAACTAAAAGCTTGTAAGTTGTTAAGTTTAGTATGTCTCTAAATTGCAAAAATTACAAATCAAATTATAGTCCGATTCAAACCGTACTAATCAAAGTCCAAATATTATGCAAACGATCATGCACTCATACACCTTACACCATCTGAAGAGATCAATATGATAATTTGCCAAATCTCGAAAAATGGTATATGTTGAATGTTGATCTGTCGGTAATAAATTTGTGTTATGTGAAGCATGTTAATTTATCTTGTTCACAGAACAATAACCAAAGCATAAGCTAGACAATCAAAGGTCACATCACAATAACCAAAGCATAAGCTAGACAACCAGATAATTCACAAATGAAATGTAGCATCCGATAAAGACAAAACTCGATAAAATAACTATGATGATCGTCATGTTTTCCACGGTCAGCTCGAACAGTGGATCGACTTGAATCAATTCCTATGTATTAATTTAATGAATAAATTAGTATAATAAATAACATCATCGACAATTAATCTAAATACTTCAACTAAAACTCATGGTCAATTAGGGATGGTAACGGAGCGGTTTAGGGCCGGGTATTGGTCCCTCTGTCTCCGTTTAAAAAACTCGTACCCGTCTCCGCTTAAAAAATCGCGGGAATTTAAACGGGGATCCCCATCGGGTAATCGGGAAAAATCGCGGAGAAATGGGTATCACAGTTTAGCATAAACGATTATTTAAAAAGATATCGGATCGAGTATCGGGTCGGGTATATATATTTAAATTAAATATATAAATATTATATATATATATATTTAATTTAAATTAAATTTATTATATATATATATATATATATATATATATAATTATTTTTAATATTTATCGAGCCGGATATCGGGTCGGGTATTCGGGTAATCGGGGCGGGGATTACCAAACCCGTCCCCTCCCCGTTTAAAACATTCAATTTTTCCCCGTTCTCGTCCTCATTTATCATCCCTAAACCCGACCCGTTTAATTTGATTTTCGGTTTTCCGACGGATTCAATGTTTTTTCCATCCCTATGGTCAATTCAAGCAACACGTGTCTATTCGAAATTCGCGGGTAACGGCGGGGCGGTAATTCAGCTCTCGACTTGATTTCACCTACAAAAGGAACGTTGACCAATTTCAAATTCCAATACACGAATTCCAGATTTAAGAAATAATTTTACGATGTTAACTAAAATTTTCTGGTTCGACTCAGGGAACCGATAGCTGGATTTTCGGCTCGAACAAAAGATTGCGGGAATGAATGATCGGGACTGCCGATGACGAAGCAACACCGGAAACAGTCCCAAGGGTTGGTGATTTCAGGGTCGGCCTCGCCTTAACCTCAAACGACTAGCCACCAAATGGTAACAGGTGCCAGAACGTAAATAGGGTCAACAACAAGCTTTCTCGGTCGATCGAGGGGGCACACACCCTTCATCAGGCCGCCTCAACTCTCAACCGCAAACCTTCGGCCAAGTAGCAGCCTTCACGACCATAAAATGTCGAGAATGGCTCGCGGTTCCTACCCGACACCACCAAACGGTGATGACGTGAGTTGAGGGTTACGGTATGAGGCATTTGGACGATCAGCGACATACAAAATGATCGGACGTGAAAAAGGGAGTACAAAGTTGTAATGCCCAAATATTTAGTAAGGAAACTATGATTCTTAAAGTTTGGGACTCAATTCTAAAGATTATAAAGTTGAAGGGTTCATTTGAATTAAATAAAAAGTCCATAAGTTTTAAATCGAAAGAAAATAAATATGATAACTTAATTGAAACGAATTTGTGAACTTTGAGAATTAAAATGAATATATATGTAATACCCTAACTCGATCTATCACAAATCTAGAAAATTTGAGTACCACACGAAATCATAAATAAACATTGTAATCATAAATAAACCCATAAGTTTTACCGTCATAAATAATAAGTTTACTAAAATGAGGAGTTTTCAATAATTCATTTTAAAATAATACAATATAACGAATTAGAATTACTACTCAAATATACAAAAGATCTTTAAATAATACATATCCTTTAATAATATTTAAGACGTATTCTGATAGCTCGATCAATTGAAATTTTGAACTGAACGATAAGCTCAAAATAATAACAAATAGACTTAAATGCATATTTCCCCCTGAATTATACCCTTTTTACCGAGTTATCCCTTAAAGTATATTTCGGGACATTTTGCCCCCTCAACTATAAATCATTACCCCGTTAGCCCCAAATTGTTAACACCGTTAAAAATAAAATTCATAGACCAATCAGAACACGTCATGTCACCCTATAACTTTTCTTTTCTTTATCTAAATAAATAAAAATCAAATAATAAAATAAAATAAGTAATATCCCCAAAATACCTTCTTCCACACCCACACTTGACATCAAACCCCTTATTTCCAAGCATCCCTCTTTTTTCTTCTTCCCTCTATATTCCAAACCACATTCTCCTCCGTTTCAGCAGAAAATTTCTTTTTACCTCTATAACATCACCATCTCTAACCCCAACACCTGTAACACCCTGAACCAATACGACACACAGTCGAATAATGAGGGTGCTACACGGAACCATTGAAGTGACTGACCAAACTTGTTCTCATTTCTCTTGCTATAAAACGAATATTTTCTTTATAAAATTCAACTGTAAAAACATAATTAAAACTGTACACTGGGAGCTCGAAAAATAAATATTTACATTCAAAAATATTAATACATACCAACTTTTGAATACATTTATGACTCAATTTTACAACAAGGTTTATAAATATACATGCCCTTCAAAAACTTGAGACGAACTCTAATATGCTCTGGGTCTAGAACTCGATCACTCTAAGCTCTTCAACTGCACCACCTAATCTGCATAAGGAAACAAATTCCAAACGCTGAGCTATATAACTCAATGTCACACTAAGAACTAAATCATACTAACTGTGTATCACTGAAAGGCTCAAGCTATCAAGTCTACTGCTTTACTTTAGTGAGTATACTTGCATACTCACTCTCTACTTTATAGTAGACATCATGGTGCGAACGAGGGTTTTGCATCTCGGAGCTCACACACCCCTTTAGTCTAGCGAATATAAGGTCCCCGAAACTTCTGCATTGGACACCACACCCTCGACTAACCCACCCCTTGCAAGTGTCAAGTCTTTGCCTTAGTTAGTCAGCTTAAAGTGCCTCGTGCACTCCTTAAGGATATATCTAGACTGAGTCTATACTTTCGACATTGCTAGCTTTTCTAAAGGAACTCATGTGTCCTAATCGTTTCCCGAGCATACAAACAATGCTAGTATTATTTCACTATACTTTATTTCTTTTATACGTTTGAATTAAACATTATTACTATTCCCACTTGTAGTCTTATTTGAGAGTAATTATAAGCTTTTGGGAAACCTCAACTCCTCATAACATTCCTTAGATTATTTATCCAAATCTGTTTGTGGGTATCAATATTGACCCTTCAGTATCAATACTAACCCCTGGTATCGATACCCACCTGTTGGTATCGATACCCCTTAACTACTATAGGGTACTTGGTTTAGGTAGTTTATATACTCTATACAGAGTATCGATACTCTAGTGCTGGGTATTGATACTATCATGAGTATTAATACCAAATTTAGGTTCGATGTTTTAAAAAATACCTCAGTATCGATACTAACCATATAGGTATCGATACTAAACATTGAGTATCAGTACTCCTTGAATGGGTATCGATACTGCCCTAATAATATGCTGGATTTTAGCCTTTTACGAAGAACAATATCGGTATTGTTTCTCCAGTACTGACACTAGCAAACCAGAATGCCCTGCTTGGGCACGAATTTGACACTCAAACTGTTATATTGAGGTTCTCAATCATTAATTAAGTCTTATGTGATCATAATGTTCATAAATAAGACCTTAAAACATATTAAAATAACTATAATATGAATATACCATAGAAATCTACTCAAC